GCCTTCAAGATTAACATGTCTAACGCAATACAGGACATCTACTGGCACCTATTAAGACTGCCTATCAGTAACCAGTTTATTTTTATTAACTGCTTTTTCTATTGCACACATTTACACTTCATCCAGGTTATCTTAAAAGACTTGTGTGCAGTTTAGGCTTTTTAAAATAACTTACACATTGGTATCTCACATAAACAGTTGTAAATGATGAGTTAGGGGTTAAAGCAAAACTTACTAAATCACATCTTCGTTGCAGTTTTAGTCATAATTCCAATTCCTCAGGAAAAAAAAATGTATTTTCTATAAATCTTTAAGAGGTGCTTTGAGGTTCACTCCCTATAAAATTTCATTAAACCAGGTTGGGAGCATACTTTTCATTCTATCCATCTCTCCAGAGTCCTACTTTAGGCAATGTAGGACTCTGGAGAGAAACACCATTGATGTGCATTAGTTTTGTTTCAAAACTAAGACCCAGCTCAATAATACTTCTAATCATAAGTGAATGGATTTTTTCATACTCTATATATTTACCAATTAATGTTTTCCACAATTCTCAGGATACTGAATTACCCACTACCTTTTGGTGGGGCTTTCTGGAACCGCAACACGAATCAATCAGTTGCTTAAAAGAACTCGGCTCACAGACCACTCTGGCTATCAAACCCGTAGAACCACTCTTCCAGAGCTGTAGCCTAACAAGACATGCAAATTAACTACCTCAAACCCCCAATAAACTAGCCTACCAATATCCATTTTGCACACAGTCCACAAGTAAAAAACAACCCACTAACTCAACTTCCATCCTTCAAGTAGTGTACCTGCCTCTTACCCAATGACAAATATCAAATGCTGGGTTGGCAATTAAGAGTAGGGTCTAGCCCTACGATTAAAGATAAAACACACGCAGACCTTTAATTCATCTTTATTTTTTAAAAAAAGTCAATTTATATCAGGGTAAAGAAAAAAGTAACCAATATTAAACCAAAGCTGGCACTGTATTTTACAGGAGATCATATCAATTCAACTGTGGTACTTGCCAGGTACCGCTGCTTAATTCTTTTTTTTTGTACAATTTATTGAAAGTGAAAAGATTGAATGAAAAGTTGAATATAACCAAGATTCTTAAAAATCGTATGAAACATTCAGGGCTTCTTCCTTTGGCAAAAATAAAGACATCAAACAGGGCAAAATCTGATTAAAGATAAAGAAGCATCTTCATATGTAAAAGACTACGCATCCATTTGTGGAGGTTGCGCTCATGTGCACCCTAGAAATGCCTTTTGATACCCAAATTTGTCCCAACTTAGTTTTAAAGCTGCACATGCTAGGGGGGACCCATTTAAGCTCAAGCTCAATGGAATGTCAGAATACATTAAATAAATCTGGATCAGGGTCAATTTTTCCCCGATTCTCAATTGCAGCAACTTACACTTCTGTCAGTCAATTTTACAGCGATTAGGGAAACGGATTCACAAAGATGCTAAATGAAGTGTAAACTTTATTTTGGATATAGAAAAAAAAGGAGTTAAAATGAACTGGTTGTTAAAGCCCTTCAATTACATCTAAACGTTACAGCTGAAAATTACAGGAGGTAGAATAGAAAAAAATAAAATAAGAACTAGAAAGACAAGCACTTCTGTAACAAAACATTCTACAGCTCCTGTTGCTACTTTATTTAAAACATGAGTCTTGGCTTGAGGTTTTAGTCACCTTCTTCCGTCTCCGACTCAGATTCTGGAAAAAAAAAAAAAGAAAAAACATTGTGATCAATGCCCTCAAGACACTAATGTTCAGCTGTGCTAAGGAACTAGTCACCAAACCCCCCTGAAAGCAGACCACTGCCAGATTTTAGAGGTTTTGCAAGGAAATTCATTAGCCTTGGCTAATAAATGTTAGACTGTAACATTTAGTGGCATTTCAGATGTTCTCTGCAACTTATGAAATGCAAAATCAATTCAAAGTCCATATCCATGTGACATTTTGGTGTAGTAAATCAAACTTTCACTTTGTTCCTGATGACCTTAAGGCGTTTTCTAAGATCTGGGGGAGGATGGGGGTTGAATCTGCATTTGTTTTCAAAGTTTTAGTTGAAAACCCTTCATCTGCCTGGTCAGTCCTACCCAACACTGGTATATTCATCTGAACTCCAGCTGATCTTCATGGTAAGCAGCAATAACAAAAATGCATACCTTCCTCAGCGTTCTTGAGCCATTCAACGAACTTCTTCATCTGCTCCAGGAAAACACTTTTTCCTTTAGCAACATGGGCATCCGTGTACCATTTCAGAATGGCTTCTTCGCTCAACACATCAGCTGCAAAAGGAAAAAAAGATGAAACCGCTCATCTTTACCTTAGCTGGTCCTAGCAAGGCAAGTTATGCAGAGGCTACAGAGACTTCTTTAAGCCATTCTGGCACTAAGTCACCCAGGTTTCACCCTAGCAGAGAAACATCGCCAAGAATAAAATGAGCCAATGGGAGGTCCAAGTATAGAAAGGCAGCAGTAACAGCCCCTCAGAACTGAAAATCTAAGCCGCTACAGTTTTTCATTAAACATTCAATACCTTTATAAAGAAGCACCACAATTTTCTGAAAGGCCTTCATGAAGTGAATGTTGTCATAACAGTACTCCTGAATCTTCAGCAGCAGTGTGAGCTCAGAGAGGCCTTGGGAGGTGAAGGCTTTGAGGAGAGGGCTGTATTGCTGAAACGAGAGGGGGGGGGAGGGGGGAAGAAAAAATTGATATAGCAGGACCCCCACATTCAGATTCCACTGCCACAAGACATCAGCCCTCAAACCTACATTTTCATTCTGCAGATACTGTATCCCATCAGTCTTCCCCTATTAAAGTTAATGACTCTCCAGGCCAGGAAGTTAATCTTGCATACCTTCCAGAGGGTGTAGGGATACCAGCAGCAAATTGGCATGCACAAATGAACTGGAATTAAATTCCGATGCCAAAGAAGAGCATTAAAAGTTTGCGACCCATTATTCCTTCCCCGCAAAAGCAGCCATGTATCGGCAATTGTAATAAAGCTATATCCGCAACTTGTGGCTAATGGGGTCATTTTGTCTAGGATCAGCAATAATGCGGCAACTTAAAAAGTAGGTCTCCCCAGCGTCCCGAAGACCATTACCTTCAAGTGTTTGATGGCTTGTTCAGTTACCAGCTCTTCCTTTTTGTTCCACTCCACAGAGCTCATCACACTTGTCCACACAATACCGATCATGGTCTGCTCAGAGATGTTGGTTTTCTTCATCTCCTCCCTGACATAAACAATAATCTAAAAATAATAATACAAAAAGTTTACACATCACGACCCAAAAATACCATCTGTAAATTCCTCATCTGTTCTGAAACAGAACAGAAGGATAATGGCATAACTAAGCCAACTCTTTGCGATAACAGCCTGCAAAATAGTGCGCAAGTATTCTGGGACAAAAACTGAGGGGTGGGGCTGAAGTTACATTATCATGCACTAGATTGTGAAAAGCTGCCACCTACATCTTTAAATGGATCACCACGCGACATCTGCTCCTGGAGCTCCTTCTGAAGCTCCTTTCGTGCCCCGATGGACTGCTGGTTGCGTGCAAAGTCCGACAGTTCCTTCAACCCTGCGTCGGTGAAGTACTTTGAGAAGTGCTCGCAGCTCCTCTTGTTGGCAGGAAACAACTCCTGTAACAAAAAGTTTATAAATGTCTAGGATTCCAACAGCTCAACTCCTATCATAAAGTGTCCCATAAAGTTCACAGCCCATTATTACCATAGTCTGCTGAATAACTATGTCACTTGTACAAAATAAAGCAGTTTTTGTTACTAAAAGATCCCCAACTCTGAAACTAAGAAAATTAAGGTACATGCGAATTAAACTGATCTTGGACTGCATTACACAACGAAGAAATTCGAATCGAAGACAGTTACTCGACACGAATGTAGCCTTTGTGGGATCCCCCTAAAAAAAAACTTCTTGTAGTCTCAAGGTAAACACGTTTCAAGATGTTACACTCACAATCCCACAGGAAAGCTTTTGTTAACGAGACCGAATGTGTGCTTATGGAACAGTTCTGAGCAAATTGGGTCTTTAATGGTCATGCAGGTACAATAATGGAGCACCGTGCAATAACTAGAAAGCACACCTTGAAAATGGTTGACACTGATTCTATAAAAAGCTATGCCAGCACCCTTCCATACTTGTCTGTACAAAATGGTCTTACCCTGAATGGCAAAGTGCTGAGGTGGTCATCTCAAGGAGACAGTTCACAGAAAGCTCTAAGCCAGTCAGAAAATTAAAATGCTGACTACTGCTAGAAATACAAGTGTAATCATGTCCATCTTGACACCTGATAATTGTTACCATGGTCATACTCATAATTTGTGGAGACATCCTCAAATGCCTTTACTTGTATTTGTAGATCATGTCAGCATGGTATAGAAAGCTTTTACCACAGTTCTGAAGATTATGAAATCACTACCGACTATATTCTTACCATCCCGAAGCTAGACTGAGGACTTACCATGAGTCTGTTATCCATACCAACTTTGCGCAGACTGCCTGCAACTGAATTAATGTCCTTCTCGTTGATCCACGATTTGAACAGTTTGACAGCAAATGCTGCAGACACGCCTGAAAAAAGCAAAACATTTGTGAGAAACTGCCATGTACTCCAGTAATTCTGGGACTAAAGTCAGAGCTAGCCATTATAAATTAAGCTTTAACCATCACCAAAATACTTATTTACTAAAATTTCTTATAACAAACAAAACTTCCCATCACAATAAGTGAATCTTTTGGCCCACTTCATGTTTTTAATTAAAATACCACCACTGCAATTTACCATCATCTTTTCAACAGGTCTGCTTCCAAGATCACGTATTTACCTGCACATACAACACTATAATCAGAGTGTAATTTAAACTTAAAGCCTCTGTAAAATCAAAAGGGTGGATCCAAGGGAACATGGAGATGCACACTGAAGCTATGAACTTATTAACCAACTAAATTAGCTTGTAGTTTAAACAGCTGACACAGGACTGATCTAAAAATCTAAGGCAGGTCTACTCCAAGGAAGTACTAAGTAGGGGTATATCTACTGACCTGCTAAAATGGTCATTTAAAGCAGTAGTGCAACTCCGGCCAGAAGCACAAGCAATAGGATGATATCAACTTAAAGTGCAAGTGCTTTATTCAGGAATCTCAGTAAAACAGATGCAACACGAAGAACGCAGGCCCTAAAAATACAAATTCCACATCGAAAGTGGAAAATCGAAAATACCTCTTCCCACATTACACAAGACCTTGTGCATGTAAAAGCCATAGACGCCCATAAAGAAATTTCAATTCCAGAACGGTTTACATTGGGCAGGTAAAGAGCAATTAGTATAGCATGTTGCTCCTGTGGGTGAAGAATGCGAAGTAAGCGTAATGTAGTCTCCACCTGAATCCACTTAATCTCGGGATTAACTAGGCTTTCAAGCACCTGTGATCACCCCTCGTGCTTTTCACAGGAAATAGGAGTAACCTGTACTGCAAGATAAAGTTCATAGTAGAGCACTTAGGCTTTTGTTTACAGAAAAGTTTTGGTTAATAAATGAATTCATTAGAAGGGCACAGATTTGTGTACAGTATATTTAAAATCACACTATATTAGATTTACTTAATTTTATTAAGCAGAATATAAGAGACCACATAACTGTACACATGTTGGTAAAGGGTAGCTTCTGACCTGCCTAACAATGCTTTTCCACAAGTAGGCGAGTGGTTGGAAAGGGAAAAATCTTATCTTTTAATCTAAATTAAACTTCCAGGTTTTAATACAACTCCAAGGAAGTTGGGCGGTTTGTGCCCTTTTTTCTCCATTGTCATCTGGAACTCCATGTCTTCTGCTTTTAAAAGGCAGAAAAGATAACAGGGCTGGTATACCGAATTCAACGCTGAGCTGCATGACGATTCCCCACGCTTCTCAACAATAATACCATCACCATCCGACTCGAGGATGGAGTTGAGGGAATCTTACACCTTTAGGAATTAAAGCTTGAAAGTTGAAGAAGCAAGTCCTGCTTCTGTCTGAATATCCAGTGTGGGGAAACGGGGTTCAATTCAATCTCAGAAGTGGGTTTTCCTGGGTTTGTTAGGAAAATGTGTAACAAGAAGTAATTTAGCCTTTACAATAAGATTTCAATTAGTTCACACGTTTGCTTGCATGGCAGTAATAAACCCTGCCAGGGCTTTTAAGTCCAATTAAAAGTGCAGAAGAACACGCTATTTTGGCAGAAGGGACCTCACCTTCTTTGACAAGGTTCTCGTTGAAAAGACTGCTCAGAATGGAGGCGGACAAGTTTCCGTTGCCCAGGAGGATACCCGTTATCATAGCCAGCTTGTTGCGCTCCGACTCGGTGAAACCCTTTAAAAACAGCAGCAGCTGCAGAGAAAAAGAACACGGAGAACTTTTACAGAATGGCGTTCAAAGAACAGGTAACCTGATCTGCCGACACCAGTTACGCACGATCAGCAGATGGGAGTCAGACGCAGGAAGTGCAAGCAGGGGCTCAAGCCAAACCCATGTAGAAGTCCACATTCTTAGGATTGTACAAATTCAGAGCTCAACTAAGCAAAACAGTGTCAGTTTTACCATGCACAGCTCTTCGTAGAACTGATTAAGGCAAAATAACCACTTTAGGTAGTGTTACCTTTCTGCAAAGTTAAAGAAATGATCCTTTGTATTAACATTATGATCTGGCACCTTCAGGGAAAAGACTTTCAAGGGCAAATTTTTTTACAGAGTGCCAATGACAACTTCAATTTCAATATGTTCATAAACTCAAGAATCCAGCCTCCTGGACCATTTCAAAGACTAGCTGCGCAGTTTGTGTGCAATAAAAGGCATTAGCGACCCTTTTCTTTTGCTGCAGTCTCAACTGATCTGCTCACACAACAGAAACGTTACTTTAAAAAAAAAATCAGAACAAAAGCAGACCAAGTGCAACTCTGAAAGATCAGTCCTTATCTTACAAACCTTTTACTTGAACTAGACCATTGTCTCTACCTGTAAATAAAGTGTCCTCTACTCCATGTAGAGTACCTTAGGGATGGAAAGAATCAAGTCAAAGTAAGGAATTACCTTCTTGATTTCCTCTTCAAACCCTTTCTCCAGGTACTTGTAACGCCGGATTAGTTTGTTAAAAACCTAGAAGAGAAAAGTTGAACTTGGTTATTTTAAAATCACCTCAGTAAGGATCTTGTATTCAAACCAAATACTGCAGTTAAGCCACCTTTGATGGCTTTTCATATGGGCTGGCTACTAAGCCCAAGACTTTCACTCTAAACTCACAAGCTGGATTTTTTTTTTTTTTTAAGGTAAAGCTGGATCATCTTCTACACCAAGCTAGCAATTAAGAGCCCACATTAACACAAGTAGGTGGCTGTATCAGCACACAAAACAACAAGTGAAGATTTATTCCATGCTAAAAAAAAGGAACGGTTTGTCTGTGGAGTCCTTTTCAGCTGTGAAGGTGCCTGAAGAAGGCTCCACAGCTGAAACATTGTGCCTCTTTCACATTAAAAGGGGTCCATGTGCTTTGTCCTCCAACCAGACCCAAACACTGGCTCACCTGAGCGTAGGCCTGCATGGTCTCAAGGTCTTCCTGTGCCGTGAAGACACAGAACTCCGTGCGGGTCAGGTCATCGGACAGAGTACCACCTGGGGCTGCAACCCAATGAGAGAAATTCAGTGCCCTTTCTACGAAGAATACAATCCAACTTTAAGAAATGCAGGTGCTTCATTCGGGTTTATAAATTACAGCTTGAAAGATTCTAATAAAGCCCGACATTTAAAACAAACCAGTTTTACAGTTCTCTCGTAAAAGAGCAGACCAGCTGGCAATCAGAAACAGCCCTAAGAGCACATTCATTGCTATGCCTATTCATACAGACGGAGAGCAATCCAGGTTCATAAGATGAGAATCGTTATGGCCTTAGTCTAACAGCTCAACACAAAGGTTCAAATGTAAAAACCTTACCCAGCATTCCACCAGCCACCAGGATGTCAAAGAGTGTCTCTGCATAGCGACGATAGTCAAGTTTTGCACCAGAAGCATCAAGGAATTTAGCTACTGCTTCCAAATCGGTGCCAGTTTGATTCAGACCTTGAACAATACTTTCCTGAAACTGAGTAGGGTCAAACCTCTCCTTTTCATCTACGAAGACAAAAAAATGGGGGGGGGGCAGATTAATAATGGAAATTACTGAAGATCTGTTTGTACAAACAGTAGGAAACACCACAACTCACCTCTTTTCCTAGTTTTAAAACGCTGGCCTGTTAGCGTTGGCTTTTGCTGCTTTTGATTATTCATAAAAGACACCCTGGGAAGGAAAAAAAAAACACAAAGAGGGGTTTATAGTTCACATCATCCTGGGTTTTAAAACGTCACCACAAATAAAGACACGAGGTGTTGAGCTTAAACCTATATTTTATCCAAAAAGTTTAAAGCGAACTACGTTTCCCATCAAACTTTTCACTTCCGGTCATGCTTCCCCCATTCTGGAGGAAAAAAAAAATCCCGGTTTAAGTGCCAGACTCTCCCGGTCTCCCTAATGCCCAGTACGCCTAACAATACAACTTGACTCCTCAATCCCCATCTCGGGTTTACCAAACTGGTGGACTAACGAGCCAAAAAAAACCCTCCCCAACACATCCTTTATCCTAAAACCGGCCGCCCAGACATTTTCCCCATCATCCCGGCTGAGCAGGCTCTAGCTGAAGGCCGGCGATCGGCATTGTTTTCGACACATTGTCCTGATCCGCCCGCACCGGAGCTATTTTCTTCGGCGAGAAGACAGTCAAGTCCCCCCCAGATGTGATGCCGAGTCGCCCCCCATCGCAGAAGCAACCGGCTTTCTCGTGGATCAAATCCTCCACCAGCTCTTTTTCGTCGATCACGGAGAATTAGCCCACGCACAACAAAAGAAACACGTCCACGCTGGATCCTTTCCTCTTTTCGGCATCAAGGGATTTAATATGTGACCGTTGCGGGGGAAAAAAAAACACGAAAAGAAATGCCGATCCGTTTTTTTATGTTGATGTATTTCCCCGGTAAAGGCAATAACGTGATTACATTTTACGATAAACGAGGTAGAATTTGACACTAGGCCTAGGGATCTCCCACCCCCCCCAACAAAAGAGTTTATTTAAAAATACCGATGTAAAACGTCAACAAGTATTCTGGGCGAGTACGAAAACGAAGCGATCAACATAACATTATCGAAAAGGTCCGTTCGCCCAGGAGTCAGGTTACACGTTCAATATGAATTCCGCTGCCATAAATAAATTAGGCCGTGAAATCATCACATATCCCTACACAAACACGGGATAAAAATACGCGTCTTGAGTAGATAAAAGAGAACACCCGCTTCTACACCCTATCCTTAATAGTACGCCCTGTCACCCAAAGTTGGGTTGATTTAACTTACCGAAATTAATGCAGATCAAAAACAGTTAGAGAACCTGAAAAGACTGCGACACGATTCAAAAGCTCAACCCCAACAAAAAAAATCACCCAGAATAAATTAGACCTGTGTGCGGCGGCGCCAGCCTAATAACACTCGGACTGACGCACTATGGCGGGGTTGTTCTCTTCTGTGGGAAATGAAAGCTTACAGAACTAAATTCAATACACCTCCAAATAATTGATTGTTTCAATGTTAAAATTGTGTGTTTTAAATATGCTGTATTGTACATATTTCCCCAGAGAAAATATGCAACGTTATTATAAACTAAATAATTTATGACCTAGGGATCCCCCCTACTTTTGTAATACTTTCATTGCCCCCAGCGTCGTCTTTATTACGTCGAATCCATTACATAACGTCAAGGGGGGTTACCAATCTGAATAATTTGAAGCCTCACCTAAAGATCGTGTTTGGGACTGCATAGAAACGCACAACATGGGTTGCTTAGTATTTATATTATATTCAACTTATATTTCCCATTTAAATGCATTTTTATCTGACATCGTTGCAATTCTTTTTACTTTCTACCCCCCGTTCCAACACAAATGGGAATTGTCCACTTTTCTTGCTCCAACGCGTTCAAACCAGGCAGGGAACCGAATGACGAAGTGCTGTGGTTGTTGCCTGACGACTGACGAGCCTTGGGTGGAGTGTTGTTGTGCAGAAGTTCCATAGAATTTGTAAACTGGGAGTGACGCACGACGATTGCATAATAAGCGCATATAAACATCTACAACACCAAAACTGCACCCCGCAGTAAATCTGAACAATGGGGATTTTTTTAGCACGACAGAAGCGTTAGTAAACAATATACTTAGCTTTTTTTTAAAAAAAAAAATGTAGCTGATAAGTGATTCACAAGGTTATTATCAGGAAACTTACAAGATTTCTTTATATCGGGATCACGGCCATTTTTGTTATACAGATGTGACACTTGCACAGATTATACTGATTAACTTCTGTTACCAACAGGCTGTCAACTGTCAAAGGTCATGGTCAGAAGCCTCTTTAGGCACTGTTGGAAACAGTCCAAGCTGTACATTTGTGAGGCACGATTTACACCAGGTTGCTTGTGAACTTCTGCTCCAGTTACCCTTGTAGAGCCTGGACAAATATGTGCCTGTTCACCAGTCTGTGCCCTAGGTGCTACATCCACATCCTCTCACCCCACAAGCGTTCAATGAGGCCCAAATCGGGCAAGTAG